CTTATCACTGTCAATCTGTAGATAATGCCTTCAACCCGATGGGTGGTGGTGATCCTGATTTTCTAGATTTGATGATGTCCATCTTTAAGCAATGGACGGTGTGGAGTGGGAAAAAACCTCATATATTTACCTAATTTATTATTCGGAGGCAGAAGCATCAGCAACAAGAACGGTGGGTGGCCGGAGGCGTTGCGCAGAACGCTCTATTGTACTATATAGTGACGATGGCAACAATACAATATATTTTATATATGCGTCAAATATCGATTATCTGCTCAACAGTTACGCTTCGTAAGTAGTTCCGTGGTAAAATAAACGTCAGCACTCTATTTGTTTTCTTTCTCTGGTCCATGCCAAACATAAAATATGTACCTACGTTTATCAAAACCAAACCTGTGTTATTGATTATTACTTTTAATATTAGAGTAGATTCCCTATTATCGAACTTAAAGTTGAGAACATCACCTGCTGTGACTATTTAATGATATTTTAATTTTTATGTATGCGATAAGAGTCTAAATTATTAAAGTATTTAAAAATGCTTATAAATTTCATACATACTAAAATATCGTAAAAAACCCAACTTTGGGAGACAGGTAATGTTTTTAGCTCAAAGTTTGATAACATTTAAGTTTACTATAATATTAAAAGTCGTAATACAACACAGGGCTGGTTCTGGAAAACATAAATTACGAGTTGGTCAGAGAGAAAAAACAAATGACTCGCTGACATCCTCTTAACAGCGGTTGTCACAAAGATCAATGGCACTTCAAAATAAATGGATTATTATAATAATATCGCGAACTCACCTAGATTCGATTATAAATGATAGTACTCGGTAAATAGCAGCATTATGGCTCCGTAGCGATGTGATTGGCATGACAGAAAATGATGCGGCTTATGTAAAATTTTTGGAAATGCATTGTACCAAAACACAAGGTTTTTATCCATTCCGGGAGTTGTGAACGATGTACGATATACGTAACATAAAGACGGAAACACGACAAAGTTGGTACGAGCGGTGCATCTATCACGGAAAGACGACTGAGAAACCGACCACCGAGCACCGCAACAGCGCGAGGCGATGACATAGTGGTTAGTGCGTAAACGTTTTGGATCAATATTCTGCATCTGATGCGCGCTTGCGTGGTCAGATTGAAAAGATGAAAGGCGGTAGTTTGAACAAAATTAAGGGGCTTCAATGCAAAACGTACTTTTTACTTTTTTAAGAAAATTATCTAACACATTAATTCTTATCGTAAATTGTAAGGGGGATTGAATGGTACCATTATTATAAGCCAAAAACCGAGCTTAAGAAAAAGTTAAGAATGCTTAATAAAACTCTAATGAACCAAATATAAAAAAATTCAACGTAAATGTATATGTATATAAGTAGACGTAATATTCAAATCAAATTTACATTTACATATAATATGGTATACCAATATTTACATTAATTATACAAAAAAGGTACATGCCACAGGGGAGCTGTGGCAACCCGCCGCCACCCTATGTGCATGAACATAAGTAAACCACGAATTATGATATACCTTAGTACAATGAAGGGTCGACAACCCAAGTCCTGCGTAGTGTATGTGGGTTGTATATATATAAATGCAAAAGTTTCTTATCAGTGACAAATCTTCATGAATTTAATGTACGTCAATAAAATGCGTCCAATAATAAAAAATGATTTTGGTGTTGATGATTGTTGAACTGGCAAGTCAACATTATCAGAAGCTTTAAATTAGCATAATTATTTGATTGTGGCCTAGAAACAATGGATTTTAATTAAGACCCAAGAGTGAAATCAGAAATATACACGGAGGGGGGGGGGGG